ATGTACACGGGACACTTCTGAATGATGGAAACTGACTGCTGGAAAAGGTAGGTTTAAAAATGTCTGTTTAGCCACGTTTGCATAATGCGTTTATGAGCATTTATGTTCGTTTTCACATAGAAGCGTTTTTTTTTAAAGATTAGCACAGGAGAAGCTCCCAAATGCCCAAAATGCACTGAAAAGTGGTAAATTATTAACTGTTTCAGACTGTTTCAGAGAAATACAGAGAGTAGAAGCAGAGACAGCAGTATGTGTTGAGATTAGCTTAGGTGTGAGTTGTTCATTAACATTTCTTTTGTTTCCAAGGGTGGGAAAGGTGTCTGGTGGAGTGAGTCATTAAGGCCACCTGGCAGGAGGTCTTCATGAGGAATTTGAGGTGTGTGAATGGTCATTAAGATATCTTTTGTTTCCAAGGGTGGGAGAGGTCTGAGGTGTGAATTGGTCATTACAATGTGTGACAAGCTTGGTAAGAAAATCCTGTGTTCAGTGTTTTGTCCATCTGAGTACCTTGAAAACGCTTTTTCATGATGAAAAAAGACTCTGGGCAGCATCGGAAACTGGAAGAGTTAAAAAAAAATTTCAAATGCGAACGCTAATAAACGTGATTTGCCACATTTACATGCATTTTGAGTTTGAAACGCTGATAAAATCGACTGCTGAACGCAAAAAAAAACAACTGTAAACTCAAATGCCTATAAATGATGTAAACGAAGATGTGTACATGGACACATAGGAAAACATTAGGGTGAGTTCAGGTGCTGCTGAAAAAAAACACTGAACAGTTCCTAAACGTGAGTTTATCAGCTGCAGTGTACATGAGCCCTAAGCCTGATTTTGTATTCTCCAGCTGTAGTAAATAAAACCCCATTGAGTGATGGGAGATTTACATTTATTAATAACAGGCCAATGACACCAATATTCCTGATTCCATTTGTAAGCTTAAACATGTTACTATTACTTCAAGTTTTAACATTCATAACTTCAAACATCTACTTTCTAAGCTATGCAATAGAGGCCATAGTGGTTTATAAACAGGCCTCTTTATCTATATGCCTGTCCAATTCTCACGTAATCAGCATTAGGTCCCAAAAAATGAATGGACACACTAAGACTGTGTGGTCTTTATGTTCATGAGGGTTTGAAGAGACCACAGGTGCTTGGTTTCCTGCCCATAAAGAATAATTAAACAAATGGGCCAACCAGTTAGAGTAGTTGCCTTATTGTGCAGAGACTAGCATGAGTTTCCTGCCTCATTTCACAATTCTACAGTAAACAGATTTAATGCCTTGTTGTTATCCAGTTAGTGTGTTAGCAGCAGATCTATCTGAATATGACAATTCTCAGTTTCTTTATATGACACAAAGCCATATGACTCCCATATGACATCCATCCATCACATGAATTGAGGAAAAGACGTTATAGACATGCGACATACAATTTGGATCGATGGTGCTGTGCTCCATTTAGAACCTTCAGTAATTCTAAATAATAAATAGTGTTGTGGAAGAAAGATTCAGAGTTTGCCAAAGAGAATTATAGACATGTGAAAATATAAAACTGAAATAGAACTGCAGATAATGAACAGGAAAAAATACAGGTCAACTGAAAGGCAAAAAAACAAACTTTTATTTAAAGATGCATTCCAGGTATGGATATTTCATACATTGTTACATTGGTCCAGCTTGAACCAATGTAACTATGCATATATTAAAGCTGGATGATCCCCCTGGAAGCTGGAAATCACTGTAGTAGACCCAGATACTCCTGTGATCTCCATTTGGTTTCAGGTCCCATGCCAAGGAGCTGTCCTGCTGCATTCCAAGCACAGGAGGTTGGCTGCCAGGAATCAGCAGAAAGCTTTACATTTTCTGAATAAATGCAAACCATTGGATGAGGAAGAGGATATGACATCACCGACCCTCTCTTCACTTTGTCCAATCAGACAACACTTTGCATTTAGTCATAAAAATGCAGAGCATTCTCTGAATGGAACTGGCGTCGATATGTGTTCATACTACAGCAGGGCAGCCACTCAGCAGTTGACCTGGAATCAAATGGAGATCATGGAAGTATCTTTATCAGAACCTAGTGGAGATAACTGGAAATCAAAGAAGTACAGACCGCTGCACTCCAAGGAAACCACCCATCTTTACTAAACATATAAAACCACCATTATCTGTCAACAAAACAGTGTGGGGACAGAGAAAGTAGGTGCGTTTCGTGCCTTAACTGAGCTTAGTCATGACATGTCATGAATAAGCGCCATTAGCATGTGATATGCATTGACTTTCTCTCTTCTTACTGGATTATGGTGGTTTTAAATGTTTAATAAAGACGGATCCAGTGTAGCACTAGACTGTGTTTATATATTTTTGTACTTATTGGGTCTAAGTTTTAGTGTGAGCAGCTTAGAGTTAGGGTTCCATTTAAAGCGCAGGAGGATCTATCTATTACTAATAAAGACTGATTGCTTTCCTTGGTGTGCAGTGCTCTAGATTTTTTGATTTCTCACTGCATTTCTCACTGCATACAGATGAAGGAGCTGAGCTAGCACTTTGGAGGGGTGTGAAGGATTGACGTGGCAGGCTCACCTGGAGCAGTGGCATGTTGTCACATACCTGGTGATGGAGGCTAATGGAGAGAGGGCTTTCCTTGCGGCTAATTTCCGGACTTCCTTGAGAGTGAGTCAGTGGGAATCAGGCCCAAAGTTGCACAGGTCGCCTGTAGGAGTGCTGGTTGGTGGTCCACTCAGAAGCACAGCTGGTGCATGGAGATAGGTCTGCAGACAGGAGGCGCCTGTGCATGGTATGCAAGCCCTTCCGGGATTTAGATGTTTACTGGGTAGTCGGTTCAAGCCAAGGTCAGGTACCAGGTGGGAATCAGAGCAGACGTAATCAGATGGGATAGCCAAGATCATACACAGAGGAGCAAGATAGAGCGTATCCGTAAGCCAAGCCGAGGTCAGATCAGGGGTAAAGCAGAGTAGACAGGTCCAGGAGCAAGCCGATTCGGTAACAGGAATTCACAGGTCAAAATCACAGGAAACAGGAACAGGGCACGGGGAGCTAGAGATCATCCAGCAACTTGAAGAAGTGAGGCTGTGTGCTTCTGCGGCCATGCTGAGTACTGGCAGAAATGCCAGATCTTCCAGAACTCCTGCCGTGGACAGGACCCTGACACATGTACTTCTTACTACACTGGAAACCACTGCAGTAGCAGTGTCTATTTCAGTGATTTCCAGCTTCCAGGGAGATCGGACAGGTATGGTGTATACAGTATATAGTTATATTGGTCCAAGCTTGAACAATATAACTATGTGTACATAGCTGTACCTGGAATTCATCTTTAAGGAGCCAAGGTGAAAATGTCATCACCTAGGGGGTACATACTGTATATTGACATTTCTTGGTTTTATCGAATTGGACAATGGCCAGACAATAAACAAATTATATATTCAGCATAGCTAGCTTTTTCAGTATGTGGTTGCAGAAACCAAGATGGCTACGTATCAATTATACCAAAAAGATATGGATTACAGCAATGGCATGTGGCTGCCAGAAGTATTTTACAAACTTGTGCTGCCCAGACAGTACTCGTGAGTACTACAAATGCAGTAGCAACTGGCACTCAAAATAGTGTTACAGCATTATTGTACAGTTACCTAAACTGCCCACTAATGAACAGCAGAGGTCAGGCACAAACTCAGCAAGGTTTTCTCTAAAATGAGACCATTATCTGCTTGCTGCCCTCCCACAGTACATTTACTGCAGGTGGGTGGCACAGCCAAGTTGGATCACGTCTCCAGCTTCTTCTGGGTGTGTCCCCTGTTGACCTGAGCTATCACTGGCTACAGTGAGATTTTTATCAGCAGACCCCAGCCAATGTTTTTGACCGTGGACCTGCTGCACGGTTGTAGCCAATCACAACACAGAGTCCTGTATTCACAAACACACACGACTCTGTATGCAGATCAGTGATCTCGCTGTTTCTTTTCCCTGCAAAGCAGGAAAAAAAATCAGCCAGATCTCTTAATCAACAGCAGCACACATTAGACACATTACAATTGTTGTGCACACAGTTAAACCCTTGATTGCCCCCTGATGTTAACCTGTACCCAGGGGCGGACTGACAACTCATGGGACCGCCGGGCAATAGGGGATCATGGGGCCCCTGTGTCCTTGCACAAACTACAAAAAGCCTATGAAAAAGGTACCAGGGGCATCTCATGGGGCCCCCTACTGACCCTGGGCCCTCGGGCACTGCCAGAGTTTCCAAATGGTCAGTCTGCCCCTGCCCGTACCCAGCCAGTGTCATTAGTATGGTGACAGTGTGACAGTGACTTTTTTAAAAACAGACAATCACCTGTCCCTCAATCCCACAGTGTCCTTACACTGGCCGGGTTCACCAGCCATCCTGTGTCCCTGGCGCCAGCATTTTCAGTGTGGACACCAGGCTGTGACAGCTCACGGCTTCACAGCTGGGTGCCCGCTGTGCATGTGCGAGTAGTGCTGCACTTTGTGCATGGTCCCATAGTCTTCTGGAACACATGACAGGTTCCAGAAGACAACGGGGGTAGGGAGAGCAACTTCCATTTCCAATTGCCTAGGGAGCGGGGGACGAAGCCTTAAAGCGGAACTTCCCCTTTTGGATGGAGCTCCGCCTTAATATACACTTCTTTTTTTTACCAAAGACATGTAGCAAAATAAATTTTGGCCTAAATTCATGAAGAAATTAGAATTTTTTTTTTACTGGATATGTCTTATAACAGAAAGTAGAAAATATTGTGTTTTTTTCTCCAAACTTTTCTTTTTTCGTTTATATAATATAAAACATAAAAAAACCCAGTGGTGATCAAATATCACCAAAAGAAAGCTTGATTTCTGTGAAAAAAATTATAACAATTTCAACATTCTAGTGTTGCATGACTAGCAATTGCCAGTTAAAGTAGCAGAGTGCTAAATAGCAGAAAATGCCCTGGTGTATGTAATAGACAGTATCAACATAACCAGTACTGCAATATACATTCTTCCAGAATGTTTTTTTGGTGAAATGTACAGTCCAGAAATATTGCACCCAAGACTCTACGCAAATCTTAGAATCACCGCACACTTCACTCATTTGGCCAGTCACGGGGCCAAAACCAGAGTGTGGAGCCACAGTGTGGGCGGTGGAGGCAGCAGCAATGGGAGGCCATGCAGCACCCTATGACAAAAATGGAACACCACCAGCAGTGGTGAGGAGACTGAAAGTGGCACATGGCAGAGTGTGGCGATAGAGACAGCAGCAATGGGAGGCCGTACAGGGACCCATGACACACTCTGGACCTGGCAGCAGCATGAGGAGGCGGTACAGGGGCCCATGGCAGATTACGGGCCTGGGCAGCAGCATGAGGAGTCGGTAGGGGGGCCCATGGCAGATTACAGGCCTGGCAGCAGCAATGGGAGGCCGTACAGGGACCCATGACACAATCTGGACCTGGCAGCAGCATGGGGAGGCGGTACAGGGGCCCATGACAGATTACGGGCCTGGCAGCAGCATTTGGAGTCGGTACGGGGGCCCATGACACACTCTGGACCTGGCAGCAGCACCTGAGGAGGCGGTACAGGGCGCATGACAGATTACAAGCCTGCGGGCAGCAGCAACTTGGACAGGAGGACGTGTACAGTTTCTGCACCGTCTGGTGCGTGCTCGCAAACTGTTTGTCTCTTGAAAACGGATTCCCCAAGAAAGACTGCTGACGGAATCCGTGTAGAGGAGTAGCAGTGAGCAAGGAGCATCTGAACGAGCGGAATATGCCAACAAGCGACAACAGGGGCCCATGACAGATTACGGGCCTGGCAGCAGCATGAGGAGTCGGTACGGGGGCCCATGGCAGATTAGGGGCCTGGCAGCAGCTATGGGAGGCCCGTAATCTGCCAGCACCCTATGACAAAAAATGGAAACCACCAGCAGTGTGAGGAGACCTGAAAGTGGCACATGGCAGAGTGTGGCGATGGAGACAGCAGCAATGGGAGGCCGTACAGGGACCCATGCCACACACTCTGGACCTGGCAGCAGCATAGGAGGAGGTATAGGGGCCCATGGCAGATTAGGGGCCTGGCAGCAGCTATGGGAGGCCCGTAATCTGCCAGCACCCTATGACAAAAAATGGAATACACCAGCAGTGTGAGGAGACCTGAAAGTGGCACATGGCAGAGTGTGGCGATGGAGACAGCAGCAATGGGAGGCCGTACAGGGACCCATGACAGACTCTGGACCTGGCAGCAGCATGAGGAGGCGGTATATAGGGCCCATGGCAGATTAGGGGCCTGGCAGCAGCTATAGGAGGCCCAATAATCTGCCAGCACCCTATGTCAAAAAATTCAACACACCAGCAGTGTGAGGAGACCTGAAAGTGGCACATGGCAGAGTGTGGCGATGGAGACAGCAGCAATGGGAGGCCGTACAGGGACCCATGACAGACTCTGGACCTGGCAGCAGCATGAGGAGGCGGTATAAAGGGGCCTATGGCAGATTAGGGGCCTGGCAGCAGCTATGGGAGGCCCGTAATCTGCCAGCACCCTATGTCAAAAAATTCTACACACCAGCAGTGTGTGAGGAGACCTGAAAGTGGCACATGGCATGAGACAGCAGCAATCTGCCGTACCTGGACCCAGCAGCACCTGGCAGCAGCGAGCCGTATATAGGGGCCTATGGCAGATTAGGGGCCTGGCAGCAGCTATGGGAGGCCCATAATCTGCCAGCACCCTATGTCAAAAAAATTCTACACACCAGCAGTGTGTGAGGAGACCTGAAAGTGGCACATGGCAGAGTGTGGCGATGGAGACAGCAGCAATGGGAGGCCGTACAGGGACCCATGACAGACTCTGGACCTGGCAGCAGCATGAGGAGGCGGTATATAGGGGCCTATGGCAGATTAGGGGCCTGGCAGCAGCTATGGGAGGCCCTTAATCTGCCAGCACCCTATGTCAAAAAATTCAACACACCAGCAGTGTGAGGAGACCTGAAAGTGGCACATGGCAGAGTGTGGCGATGGAGACAGCAGCAATGGGAGGCCGTACAGGGACCCATGACAGACTCTGGACCTGGCAGCAATGAGGAGGCGGTATATAGGGGCCCTATGGCAGATTAGGGGCCTGGCAGCAGCTATATGGAGGTTAATCTGCCAGCACCCTATGTCAAAAAAATTCTACACACCAGCAGTGTGTGAGGAGACCTGAAAGTGGCACATGGCATGAGAGACGATCTGACAGCAGCAATGGGAGGCCTGGCAGACCCAGCATGACATGAGGAAGCAGCATATACAGGGGCCTATGGCAGATTAGGGGCCTGGCAGCAGCAAGGGAGGCCCGTAATCTGCCAGCACCCTATGTCAAAAAATTCAACACACCAGCAGTGTGTGAGGAGACCTGAAAGTGGCACATGGCAGAGTGTGGCGATGGAGACAGCAGCAATGGAGGAGGCCGTACAGGGACCCATGACAGACTCTGGACCTGGCAGCAGCATGAGGAGGGCGGTATATAGGGGCCTATGGCAGATTAGGGGCCTGGCAGCAGCTATGGGAGGCCGTAATCTGCCAGCACCCTATGTCAAAAAATTCAACAACACCAGCAGTGTGAGGAGACCTGAAAGTGGCACATGGCAGAGTGTGGCGATGGAGACAGCAGCAGCAATGGGAGGCCGTACAGGGACCCATGAGAGACTCTGGACCTGGCAGCAGCATGAGGAGGCGGTATATAGGGGCCTATGGCAGATTAGGGGCCTGGCAGCAGCTATGGGAGGCCCATAATCTGCCAGCACCCTATGTCAAAAAATTCAACACACCAGCAGTGTGTGAGGAGACCTGAAAGTGGCACATGGCAGAGTGTGGCGATGGAGAGACAGCAGCAATGGGAGGCCGTACAGGGACCCATGAGAGACTCTGGACCTGGCAGCAGCATGAGGAGGCGGTATATAGGGGCCCTATGGCAGATTAGGGGCCTGGCAGCAGCTATGGGAGGCCCTTAAATCTGCCAGCACCCTAGTCAAAAAATTCAACACACCAGCAGTGTGTGAGGAGACCTGAAAGTGGCACATGGGCAGTGTGTGGCGATGGAGACAGCAGCAATGGGAGGCCGTACAGGGACCCATGAGACACTCTGGAACCTGGCAGCAGCATGAGGAAGGCGGTATATAGGGGCCTATGGCAGATTAGGGGCCTGGCAGCAGCAATGGGGAGGCCCATAATCTGCCCTCACCCTATGTCAAAAAAATTCTACACACCAGCAGTGTGTGAGGGAGACCTGAAAGTGGCACATGGCAGAGTGTGGCGATGGAGACAGCAGCAATGGGAGGCCGTACAGGGGACCCCTGAGAAGACTCTGGACTGGCAGCAGCATGAGGAAGCGGGCGGTATATAGGGGCCTATGGCAGATTAGGGGCCTGGCAGCAGCTATAGGAGGCCCATAATCTGCCAGCACCCTATGTCATAAAAATGGAATCTACACACCAGCAGTGTGTGAGGAGACCTCAAAGTGGCACATGCATTTTGAGGCATGATTCATGGCGGATTTAGTCAGTTGTGTCAGGAACTGGTGGTTTGAAATCCAGACTAATCCACGCCTGATTCATTTTCACACAAACGTGAGTCTCTCCACACTTTGGGTGGACAGTCGTGTCCTCCGCGGAGTTACAATACCTCCTGCCGCACTAAACACGCGCTCCGATGCCACGCTACTGGCCGGGCATGACAGCCTTTCAAGGGCAAATTCAGCTAGTTGGGGCCAAAGGTCAAGTTTCGTTGCCCAGTAGTCAAGGGGATTGTCTACCTCGGTTGGCAGGGTGCTGTCCAAGTAGGCCCAAGCCTGTTGTTTGAGGTCCTGCTCCAGGTCCACCTGATGCTGCTGCTGCTGCTGGCTGGTTAGTAGTTTCCTCACTGCGCTGGTGAAGAAAGCTACTCATCATCGACTGCAGACTGAGGCAGCCGCTGCTGGTGGAGCTGCCACTGCTCCTACCACCACCCCACCCCTCCCCTGCTGCCATGGCAGCGGAACGCGAGCGCACACAGGGCCCACAGTGTCTGAGGATGGACGTTGGCGCACAAAGGATAGAGAGACCAACTGACTACATAGGTGGTTTTTTATAGTACGTTATTTTGGCCTCCCCTCTCAGCAGGTGTGAAAAAGGCCACCATTTTGGAACGGTAGCGAGGGTCCAACAAGGTGTGGACAGCCCAAAAGTCATCCCTCTGTCTGATGGTTATTATTCGGCTTCGTCGCTACGCAAGCAACCGAGCATGCTATGGGCCATTTGTGCCAAGGAATGCGAGGGACTCCCTGCCTCCATCTCCACAGCATACTGCCACGGTGCGTCTGGGTCCTCTGTCTCCTCCTCCTCCTCCTCTACCAGATGCTCCTGCTCCTCCACTCCTGTCCGCTGAGTGGAAAAAAACCACCCATTTCACTCAATAATTCCTGAGCACAAATGTCCTCCTCTACCTCCTCCTCTTCTTCCTGTCCTGCCCCCACAGGGGTCATGTGGCGTTGAGATCTGTGCGCCACGTCTACCGCACCCTGACCAGCCATTGTTAACAGCATTTGTTCAAGGACGTGCAACAGAGGAATGACGTCGTTCATCCCATAGTCCTGCCGACTCACGAATAGCGTGGCCTCCTCAAAGGGCCTGAGCAAGCGGCAGGTGTCACGCATGAGCTGCCAATGGCTGACATCTAAGTTACACAGGGGAGTACCTTTATCCGCTTGTAACATCAGGAAATCGGTGATGGGCCTTTCGCTGTTCGTAAAGGCGGTCTAACATGTGTAGGGGTTGAATTCCACCTTGTTGCAAACGTCGCAGATCAGGCGATGCTGTGGAATTCCGTTCTGCCGCTGCAGCTCAATGAGGTGTGTTCTTTGCGGTGTAGGAATGGCTGAAATGCATGCAAAGTTTACGTGACATTTTAAGGATGTCTTGCAGTGGGATGGTGGATTTTAAGAACCGCTTGACAACCAGATTGAACACGTGAGCCATGCATGGCGCATGGCACAACCTTCCTTGACGCAGAGCAGACACACCATGTTCTTTCCGTTGTCGGTCAACATGGTTCCCGATTTTCAGTTTGCGCGAGAGACAGCCATCTGTCGATTTCTCTGTTCATTACACTCAGAAGTTCCTCCCCTGTGTGACTACGTTCGCCAAGGCATACCAGGTGCAGAACAGCGTGACACCGTTGCGCCCTGCACATGTGATATGCCGGTCGGGTAATGGGACTTGGCACGGGGGTGGCGGCTGAGAGGACACGGCGGAGAAGAGGTGGTAGAGGCGGACATCTTTGCCGGACCAAGGACGTGCAAACGTGGAGGCAAAAGCGGCGTGACCTGTCCAAGTTGCTGGTGCGGCTGTGACGGCACCACGTTCACCCAGTGGGCCGTAAATGACATGACATGTACTGTCCCTGACCGTAGTTACAGCTCCCACACGTCGGCGCTGCCGTGCACTTTGGCAGAGACCGACATGCTCAAAGACTGGCCCAC